ACCGGTTTGATCAGTTTATATGCATCTTTTCATTTGATTCATTTAAGGTTTTCTTTTTTTTTTTTTTTTTTTTTTTCACACCTCTTCGTACTTGAAGCAGCCATAAAAGCATGATCGGGAATGATGTTTATAGACTAATTGCTAAGTTCACAAAGATTAATTCTATAGGTGTCTACAGAGTTTAGCATTTGTATACTGCCACACTGTATATCATCATAGCTCTCTCGTATGAGGTCTCCTTTATAAATGCTCTACATTAATAATTGTATATTATTAATAGAGATTTGGTGTGATATACTTCGAAGAGTATGATGAAGGGCTTATGTAATTATCTCGGAAGAGCTCGTTTTAATCGTAGTATTAATAACTATTAGGGTAGTGGGAACGTATGTCGGTAGGCACAATCATTATATTTGGAGTCATATTGCGCTGTCTCGAAAGCTCAATCCATATGTAGGAAGAAATGTGTGGATGTCCAGAAGCGTCTTATTAATGGATGGGTTCTTCTGGCACAGATTCCTCGTCAAAGTGGTGATAGTGTGAGAGAAGTCTTCTCTGTCTAGTCTAATGTTAGTAGTATGTGTTACTTTATTTCGAGGATTTGTGACCTATTGAAGATGCTATGAGTCTCGTCTCTACACGCGCAAACACGCAATAGGAGAATGATTTCATGATTATATATTATGCTGCACACTTCTCAGTATATTTGTTCTATCAATGAACTATATTATACATTGACAATAATAAATATAATGTCATAGTATAATTGATACTTAATATGTATTAGAGTCAGCGTGAATATACTTATACAACAGAACAAGATAACATTAATGGTAAGTAATAGTGGTTATGCTCATATTCTTCTAACTTGTGTTAATTGCTATCATTTCAAATACTTAATTATACTTTGCACATACAGATGCATGGTGCTCTAATGACTGCCACAAATAGTTATCTATATACTGACAGGTAAAGACAAATTTCTATGTAGTCGTGATGGTTAAGTGTTCATATTACTTAATGTATGTATCCGTCACTTGTGTCACTTAATGATATAAAATAGAAATGGCATATAGTATGTACACAGAAACAATATAGATAAATTAGACTTCACAGTGAAAATTAAAAAGACATGAATTACTCTTTCTTTGTTAAGCTTCTTCTCAAAAAAGTAGAGATGCTATCTATGCCGCACACTCGAGATTCTATTGTAGTGTACATAATTACATATATGTAGTACATCTCAGTGGTTGATATGCATATAATATTATTTCATATGAATGCTATTAAGGTTACGTGTTTTCTCTTATGTTTTGTGTGAGCTCTTCGCTCTCTTATAGAAATTAACACCAATATGCATCCGTGATAATTATCCCTCCCATCCTACCAGAGTGCTTCGTATGTGTAGAGTATCGATTGATCGCTCTCATCAGTGAGTGCAGCCAACACTACACAGAATAGATTACCAGCTATCCAATTATATCGAAAGTCTATAGATCCATGAATATTTCGTAAATCAAAGAAGCCAACTATAGAAGTAAACACTATTAAATAGCGCAATTCCTGGCATATAGCCGAATTAAGGCCCTTGTCCTTATAGTCGAAGACCACGCTACTTACATAGATTCCGACCCAGGTTAGATTATGTCATAGAATCAAGTTATCATCATCGCTCTTTTGCTACAGTTTGATATCACTTACTTATTATTATAGTATTCTATTGATATCTAGTACACAATATGATGAGGCAGAAAATGTAATCTATTAATAATATATAAACTAGAGAAGTTTCAATTTACTGTATTCCATTATTAGTCATGCTACATATAATTCCACAAGCAAAGTTAATTATATATACTCTCTCATCACAACAAATAGAAATATTTATCCAAAAACACTACACAAATCTCTCTCTATTTGTACATATATTTCGTTATTATATAAGTATACAGTCTTTTTTTAATCAAAAAATGCAATTCACACCGAATCATTCTAATGTCATATCTCTAGAGAGTCGATTGTGAGAGTGAAAAAAGATATACAGAGATGTCATCTCATATTTTTTTTTTTTGAAATCGTTTAGCAAGAGAAAAAAATTAGTTTTAAATCTTTTTTGTGACCATCACTTTATTATTGAAAATTTAGGTATTTTTTTTTATAAAAAATACAAAAATTAATAAGAGATTATTTGCACTGGGGTGCTAGCAGTCCTTGGAGTGTGGACGATTGCTCACTATTTAAGGGTTATCTGTATCTCTTCTCTAGTAGAGAGATCTCACTCTCTCGTAGCGTGAATCTAGACGCTCCTCTCTAGTAAAATTAGTTCTATTCTATCTCACTTTAAATATATACATACATATAGACCTGCCCTGCTAATGCTCATATATATATAATCAGTGATCCAGATACATCGGCACATTCGCATATCTGAACCTGACTCCGCGTAATCGATACCACTCTGCAGCATATATATTATATCATACTCATACCTCTTGCGTGATCTACTAGTATTGCTGTCAAGATCAGTAGCACTCTCACCTCTCTTAAGTATCTCTGATAGCTCTCCTCTCGGATGGCACTCAATATGTACACTCTCTCGCGCTCTCATCATACCAATATCAGGGGATAGTATCATGATCTATCAGATGATCTTATACAGTAGTTCTACGATTATCCTAATCTCTACTGAAATTATCTCAGGCTTGCAACCTGTTGTCGCAATAACTGCTCAATGTGACATCCAATTCACTCATCACGCCCGCTCGCTCTCATCAAGGATGGTGACTCCTCCACTTGCATAGATAACTCCATCTCTCATAGTAGTGGTGATACAAACTATGATTATAATATCCACTCAGGTCTTAATGGAGGAGAATAATACATCCATCTTGACGGCACTCTAAATCACGTTTGCAGTGTTAAAACTAATCACCTTAAAGGACGCTTTTCCGACATCAACAAAGTTCTTCTACATATGGAGTGAGCTCACCTGACACAGCAGAATTATTACACATGAGAGATGAGAGAATAACTAGAATACAACATGCATTCCTAGTTTAAGAGTATCCGTCTATAATTTATCTCTATAGGTGTGACAAATCTATTCTACGCATACTATATATATATAATTTATTGGTCACTTGGTTTATAATATTAGTATTCTTTTATTTTTTTTTTTTTTTTTTTTTTTTTTGAACTTCACTAAAAAACCAAGATGGAACCAAATAAATTTCAATTTAGTCATGCCAATTGAAAAATCAGACTAGTTCAACTGAAAGTTTTAACAGTTCTAAATAAGAAAGCCAACTAAGACTATCGATCTTATCCATAAGCTTTCTTAATCACCCATCTAATCCGACCAGGTAGATATGTCATAGAATTCATTTTCACCCACTATTTATATTGTTTCTCTTTTTTTCTATTTGTAGTTATCCAATGGGGATGAATGACTTAAATCAATTAAAAAAATATCATCTGTATATTTATACAAATTTCACATAAATATATTCAAAAAAAAAATTTCAAACAAACTATTAAATCAATTAAATATTTATTATTTTATAAGTTTTTTTTACCTTTATTACCATAATTCAATTATTTCTAAGGGTATTAAGAAAAAGAAAAAAAAAATCACATATTCATTTTTTTTTTTTGACAATCGTTTAGAAAGAGAAAAAATTATTAAATCTTTTTGTAGACATCACTTTATTATGAAATTAGGTTATTTTCTTTTATAAAAAAATAAAAAATTAAATATAAGAGATATTCATATGTCATATATTTTTAATCTATATTATCTTATGGGTTTTATATAGAACTTTTTTTTTTTTAAAATATAGTTCAATTTAGGAGCATATTTTTTATTATTTGCTACCACATTTAAAAAATTTTACATCTAAATTTAATTTAAAATCATCAATACAATAAAAATAAACTTAATAAACTTAAATTTCTATGCGATTAATATATTATTTTATTATTATTATTATTATTATATTATGACTCTCACAACAATATCAGGATAGTTTAGAATTTTTAATTAAATATTTTAATTGATCTTTGCTAAAAATATTTAAAAATATCAAATTGGTAGAAAGTCTTATGGTTAGAGAGGACTCAAATTTGAGACTCTAACTCTTTATACTAGTGAGAAGATTAATCAGACCGTATCTTGTTAGCTTCTTTTTTTTTTCCAAAGGACCTTATTAGCTTCTTTATTTATTATGTCACTTGGTTATAATATTAGTATTCTTTTTAATTTTTGAGTATCATGTTTATTATATTTTGTTGCATACTAATTGAAGGATATTGTAGAATATCTATAATATCAAGAAGAATAAATTTGACTAATGACACTTCATTGACTAATTTTTTTTTTTAATTTGCTGAGATAACATGATGGGTTATAAAACAAGAGTAGTTCTCCATTTAACTTAAACATTTCGTAATTTTATTTTCAAAAATTTTGAATTTTAATTAAATCAAAAATCTAAATTTTCGACTGTATATGCTGCAAATACCAAATAATTTTAATTCTACTTTAAATTTGCAAGTTAAGCTCAAACCCAAAGTATGTTATCGAAACTCCTAGTCGAGAACATTCTAAACTTCTTAAGAATTAATATTGGACATTGAATAAAAAGGTATGTTTAATTTTAATTGTGGAATAAAAGTAATTGTTACACCGAAATGGAAAGAAGAATAGAGTTTGAGCAAAGTAATATGATGCACATAACTATAAATAATCATATCAATTATAATAATGATGAATAAATAATTAAATAAATAAAAATATATATACTTAGACTGATATCCTAAACTCAAATATAATTATTGTATTACATTACAGTATAATTATTGTTGAATAGATTGAAGAAATGTTCTAGAACTTCATTAAATCAATTAAAATAAATCAAACCACTTGAACACCAAAATTAATCGGATCAAACCGGAAAAATAAGCTAAACCAGTTGAAAATCATAAAAATGTAGGAATTTCTATTGATCGAATCAGAAATTGATTCTTATGGGAAACCAATTGGACCAAATCACTCAACCCCTCACCTCACCTTCACCCTCGCCCTTTCCTTCTCCGTTCGACTCTCTATCTCTTCTCTTCTCAAAACTCAACCCCCATCGCCGGTCGTCAGCAAGCGGACCACCGTCACCCTCCCTTGCATCTTTTTCCGGGCCGACGCTACTGGCGCTGTGAAGAGATCGGTACTCTCTTCATTTCGGACCAGCGCAGATCGTGGCCACCACTCCACCGCTCTCTTCGTTCATTAGCCGGACAAAAAATCCTCTTTCCGGCGATCCCGGTTAGCAAGGTGAGTCGAAAACACCTTTTTGTTATCTTTAGATAAATAATTAGTGGACAAACTGAATTTGACTGAGCCATTTGAGATGATTGAAGTTTTAGGTTTTGACAATTGATAAAATTTGGGATTTTAGTAAATAATCGCCATATTTTGTAGAAATCGATCTCAGAATTGAACTTTACATGAAGTTTTCTTCATTTTTGGTATGTTGTCGTTTGATCTCTGGCCTGCTTCCCGTCTGGCCACCGTGGCAGGCGGCTACGGCGGAGGTTCCCGGTGACCGGGAAATCCAATAAATTCAGAATATGTATAAAAGCTCGTAGATTCTGAATATGCAACTAAAATTTACAAACTGACTTGTTCCGTGGTTAAACTGTGAATTAACGCAAAAATGGGTAAATGGTTTCTAAGCCAAAAGTTCACAGAAACTTAATTATATGGATGTTATGCAATCTCAGAATAATTTTACTAACTAAGAATGGTACAAACACTACTTAAACTAATTAAAATGATGTCTAAGAATCTAAACTTTGTTTGGGTGTTATATGAAAATCAACTAAATTTTGTTAGAAGACTTTGAAGCCGAAAAGTTGCAGAAATTGATAAAACAATGGTTAATGTGACCTCAGAAGGACCTTGTTAGTTAGTTAATTAGATATTCATTAGCCAAAACTAGTTGGTTGTGCATAAGAAAAGTAAGATGAGTATTTTAGTCGGTTAACGGAGGTTAGATGCATAATTCTGTTAAACTATGGTTTGAAAAGCCTAACCATTTCCAATATTGATAGAAGAATTTAATCTAAGTAAATAGTAGTTAGAATTAGTTATTGTTAAAAAGTGAGCTTTAACAACTTAAGTAATTCAATTACCATAAAGCTATTAAGTGGTTAGCTTATGACTTAACAAATAATCTCATACGAATATTTAATGCTTATTATCTGCTAGTAGAAATCGAGATATGTATATTTATTGAATATTGTATATGTTTAGATGAAGCTAATTAATTTTTCTGAATTAATTAATTATTTATTTATGTTGAATTTTGATTCTTTTGTTATTTTAACATTACTGGTACTGTTGTTCTAGAATATTATAGGTTGAATTTTAATGCATTTTTTATATATTTGTTTGTGCATTTTCGGGTTTGGATTCGGGTTCCAAGCAGGTTATTGAATGACTTTGTGATTAAACAGGTATTTAAACGGGTTTGGGTAGTAGCAGAACCACATATCCCTGTCTCTAAATCGAACGAAAATGGCAGCCAAAGCAAGTCCGCCGAATCTCCACAAATCGGTGGCTATTTCCAAAGGATACAACTTCGCTTCTACTTGGGAACAGGTTTTTTTTTTTTTTCTCCTTTTTTAATTCATTCCTCTGTGCTCGAGCTCCTTAGCTTTTATCATTTGGATCCCGTTATAATCACGAAATCCATAATTCAATGCCAATGAAGATCAAAATGCTGGATCTGGTTTAGCAATTTCAAACACTTGTAGTTGCACATTTATTGTTATTGAATTCAATCCCATCCGAGTATAAATTTACGTTGTGAGGTTGACGAGTGTGATCTATGCAATTTCACTCAATTTCTCTTACTTTGAACAAATTTCTATTTGCGATGCAGAATGCTCCTCTTACGGAGCAACAACAAGCAGCAATTGTGGCACTGTCTCATGCCGTGGCTGAGCGACCATATCCAACCACTCTGGTTAGACTTTCTAGTGCCTTGTTTTACTCTTAAATGTTAGGCTAATTGCAGATTTTGTTTTGAAAGCTATTGGCTTCTGTTCTTTTTTAGGCCCAAGACCACATCTCTAGACAGGAAAATGGTGGCTTGGCTGTTACCAATAAGGACAGTGCTTTTGGAGATTCTCAAGCCATAGAAGCAGTTTTAGTTAATACAAATCAGGTGAGCAGTATTTCTTCATGTCCATAGTCCAACTGCATTTTGTTGCAATCTTACTAATTTAGACGTTTAACCATTTTATGTGTATCAATTTAAAAAACCTGTATGTGAAATTGGATGCTTGAGTTATCTTACTGCTTTGATTGTTAAATTTTAGGAGTAGCATAATTATGTAACATCAGTATTTGTTAAATTTTAGGAGTAGCATAATTATGTAACATCAGTATTTGTTAAATTTTAGGAGTAGCATAATTATGTAACATCAGTATTTGTTAAATTTTAGGAGTAGCATAATTATGTAACATCAGTATTTGTTAAATTTTAGGAGTAGCATAATTATGTAACATCAGTATTTGTTAAATTTTAGGAGTAGCATAATTATGTAACATCAGTATTTGTTAAATTTTAGGAGTAGCATAATTATGTAACATCAGTATTTTAACCATTTTATGTGTATCAATTTAAAAAACCTGTATGTGAAATTGGATGCTTGAGTTATCTTACTGCTTTGATTGTTAAATTTTAGGAGTAGCATAATTATGTAACATCAGTATTTGTTAAATTTTAGGAGTAGCATAATTATGTAACATCAGTATTTTTCCTGCTGGTGCAGTTCTACAAATGGTTTACTGATCTTGAATCAGCCATGAAATCAGAGGTTAGTTGGTGTTTTTTCTTAGTTCAGAAGTGAGAATGCTTTGTGAGTTGTTGCAAACAATAGTTTATTTCAAGTTATTTTTCTGCATTCATAGACAGAGGAGAAGTATCAGCACTATGTCAACACTTTGACAGAGCGCATACAGACATGTGATGGTATACTTCATCAGGTCTGTTATTGTTGTTTTTTCCCTACACTTGTTGAGGAACTCTTTCATGGTTGCTTTTCTTTTGATCTTATACGATGAAGATTGTTGATCCTCTATCATGCAGGTGGATGAAACTCTAGATTTGTTTAATGAATTACAACTGCAACATCAAGCGGTAGCTACAAAGACTAAGACTCTTCATGATGCCTGTGATAGACTGGTACAGTTTCTCTCTTTCATGTGGGAATCAGTTTCTGTTTATTCTATAGATTACAGATTGTGGTCTCTCAATTATTGGAAGCCTTAATTATTTATCTGTTTTGGTGCTTTGGACCTGGCAAGTATTGAGCTTACCGCTTGTTGATTGCTTTTTCTTGAACTCGGGTAAAGGACATGCAATGATATTAAATAACTATTGAATATCTCTGATTCTATCTCTCAAATTTCCAGGAATAGCATGATCTATATATATTCATAGAATTCATCTTGTTTATGTCAAGGCTATAAGTTCTGTGATCCAGAGTTTTAAGTTTGCTCAATACTTATATTTGATAACTGTGCCTTTTGACTATTTTAAATGGTAAATTATGTAATTTGTAAATACTATTTTAAAACATTAAATTGGCTGTGTTGGTTTTCTCATGTCTTGTTCTTATTTTGCAGTTAATAGAAAAGCAAAGACTGATTGAGTTTGCTGAAGCGCTTCGTAGTAGGCTCCACTACTTTGATGAATTGGAGAATGTATGGTTTGAATGCTATCTTGCCTAGAGTTTCAATCTTTTTGTATCTTCCATTTTCTCTTTGTTTACCTGCTTATACACCAACCTTTAGAAGTTTCACAAGGCTTTGAACCTTAAGAGTCACCATTCCTTGTTTGAAATAAGCTTTGTAGGCTAGAAGTATACACATTAACCACTTCCATGCATTCTCCGACAAGTCCACAACTCTTAAAATCAGAATGATCACAGTTACATGACCTTCTCATTGAATTGTAGAGAAGTTAGCCAGAATGCTTGAAGAATTTGGAAATTTTCTGATCTTGTTTGAGTCTCTGCAAGACTTTGAATAAGAGGGGAAAAAAAAAAAAAATCTTCCCTTCAATCTCCATTCCTGAATTACTCGTAGTATGTGATATAGCACAAAACTTGTTGAAATTCATCATTTGGCTATGTATTTGATTGTTGTCACTGATTTAGTCATTTTACCACATTGAGTTCTAGATCCATTCACGGTACTGAAGTCTTCATTTCTTTTTCCCCTAGATCTAGAGCTGGATTTGTTGGACTTTGTTTATGACGTTGCTGGATATCTATATTTATTATTCTGTTTGGAGTCTCGATGTCCTCTTAATAGCTTGCCGTTTTTGTTTGTATATAACTTACATGCAATAAAAAAAATTAGACAAATTATTGATTATCTTGAAAGTTCTGAATTAAATGAATTATGAGATTTTTCATATCTGTGCAGATTGCTACAAATTTTTATTCTGCAAAAGTGAATGTTGGAACTGAGAACTTTCTTCCGCTACTCAAACGGCTTGACGAGTGCATATCGTAAGTTTTTTTTTTTTCTTTATGATATTTATATGATATTTAAATCTGAGCCTGTGGCATTGCTCTGTGATACTGCTGGGCAATTTCATGAACTATACAATTGTCATATTTGCTTGTAGGGATATTATTGCGGTGTTCCCTTCCTTTTTTTTTCCTTATTTTTTTTTCCTATTGATTTGTTTCTTTTCTACCACAGGTATGTTGAAAGCAATCCACAATATGCAGAATCTAATGTTTATTTGCTCAAATTTCGACAACTCCAGGTAAATGAGTGGTGTGAGGAATTCGATTGGTAATAGATTTGGTAAATGGAAAATAACAATTTGTAAGATTTGTTTCCAGTTACAAATATTTATCAATATTTATGTGCCTTTAACAGTCTCGAGCCCTGGGTATGATTCGCTCTCATGTCCTTTCCGTTCTGAAAGGTGCTTCGTCTCAGGTGAAGTATCCCAGTTAACATAAAAGTTTTTGCACGTGTGTCTGCACATGCTTATCCTCTTGCCATGTGGCATTTTTGTTCATTCTTCAGGTCCAGACAGCAATCCGGAGTGCTGGTGGTAATAAGGCCTCTGTTTCTGAGGGTGTAGAGGCATCTGTTATATATGTCCGATTCAAAGCAGCTGCAAATGAGGTGATGGCTGGTTTTTGCTTAGTTTTCAGATGTTGAATACCAGAAGTTCAATTATCAGTTATTTATCAGCGCTAGAGAGAAATGAAATGATTTGCTAAGAAAATGTTTATTTCATGTGGAGGGTGGACTTCTGTGCCTATATTGTATAGGCAGCTAACAGATAATTATTGCAGCTCAAGCCCATACTGGAGGAAATAGAAAGCAGATCATCTAGAAAAGAATATGCTCAGATCCTTTCAGAATGCCACAAATTATATTGTGAACAGCGGCTTTCTTTCGTGAGTTCATTATTTTCTATATAGTTCTAGCATCACTCCTTCTGGGTCAACTGCCTGTAATAAAACTTCCAATCTATTTCTGCTACCCAGGTAAAAGGCATTGTACTTCAGCGAATATCTGAATTTTCCAAGAAAGAGGCATTGCCATCCTTAACCAGATCTGGATGTGCATATCTAATGCAGGTAGTTTACAACCACTGGAGTAACATTCAGAAGTATGGATCATCATCCTTGGTTGAAAAATATTTGCTTATTTATTTCTGCCGTAACATATTTTACTGTGAGGAGGGTTTATTTAGGGGTTTCTATCCACCTTGTAGCGTAGTGCTTTTGTTTTTGTGGAAATTTGTTGACTGCAACTGGATTTGGGTTGAATGCAACTTGTTCCTAATTGACTATTAACTGCAAGCTTCCTTTCTTTTCCAAATTATGTGAAGCAAGTTTGCAGTTGACTCATTTTGAAACTGCATAAGTTGTATCTTCTTTTTCCTTTTCTTTTCTTTATTTCTTGAATCAATGCATTTATACATTTAATGCTATATTGTTCTCATTATTAGCGCTTGTATTTTTCTTGTCTTGAACATTTATGATCTTAGTAAGAAAAGATCTAGCACATTTTTTTTTTCCTTTCAATTTATACTTTCTAACTCTTTGAAATTACTCACTCATCTCACCTCAAACTGAGACCTTAGGTTTGGTGATGTGAATTCTTTCCTTCCCTATATCTTGTCTTGGGCTATATAGCCAATTTGGTTGATGCAACTGTAAATTGCAGGTTTGTCAACTTGAGCACCAACTCTTTGATCACTTTTTCCCATCTTCTTCAGAGGATGCTTCTTGTTTGGCTGCATTGATTGATCCATTGTGAGTTTCTTCTGCCTTGCTTTTGTTTTTTTTAAGGCCCAGTCTTCTGATTTTCCTCACTCCTTTGCCACCCAACTTTAATGGGGTATTACTCTGTTTGCATCTCACTCAAATTTATACCTATTTTGCAGGTCTACTTACTTATATGATACACTGCGCCCAAAACTCATTCACGAAACTGATGTTGACCTTCTTTGTGAACTTGTTGATATACTTAAAGTTGAAGTCTTGGGGGAACAGCTTAGCAGACGGAGTGAGTCATTGGCTGGGCTATGCCCTACGCTGGAAAGAATTTTAGCAGATATTCATGAGCGACTGACTTTCCGTGCTCGAACACACATTCGTGATGAGGTGTCTTTTCTCTCTGGAAAGTGACTTGTTGATCCTTGGTAACTGTCATGCCTACTCAGTGAAGATGGGATGTTATTGGTAGAACTTCACATGAACATAATTAGAGAGTTTATTTTTCTTCACCTAAGCAAAAGATAACTCGTTCAGTATCTGGCTGTTGCTTGAATTATTTGCTAGAGTTCACTAATGTTATTGTTCTGTAAATAATTTTCTTTTGAATTTGGATGCTATGCTTTGTATAGAATTTTCTTTGCTATTTCGATTTTTTTTTGCCCTAGGATTTTACATCCCAATTTCTAGCAAATGGCATATATGGTTCGCTGAGCGAAATTCTAAGAAGTTTATATGAGCTTCTGTGCAGAATTTGAGTTGGAAATAAACTATCAAAATTAGTTGGAGTACCAAAGAATTGCACCAAAAAAATTCATCTTTGTGAGAGATCATATGTAGCTGAGGTTGGTGGCAACATGTTTGGGATTCTCACTCATGGCAGGTTTATTTTGAAGCTTTATCTTGTTTCTTCTGCAGATAGCTAATTACATTCCTTCCGATGAAGACTTAGATTACCCTGCAAAGCTGGAGAGATCTGCCGAGGCGAAAACAGAAAGTACTTCTGTAAGTATCTCACATTGTCTTCCTATTTTCTAATTGAGTTTATCCTTTTTAAGGATGCGAAAATGCCCATAGAGCCGGTTCAGTATGGTGTACCTTATCAGGCTAGGGGACTGTTATGAGTCCGTGCTTCAGTAACTACCTGTGCTACATGTACTTGGTTGGTTGGCCCAACCGTGCAGGGACCTCTGTTGCATGTACTTCGTCCAACTGTACAAGATGGATCCCGTTTTAGGTTGTAGGTTCTCCTAATCCCCCATAAATAGGACATCAGAACAAAGACGAACCGTCTTAATTATCCATTTTTGATCATTATCGGCATTAGGACCAACTGAAGCATGCTTGTGACGTGGCATGCCACCATGAGTACCTCTGATGTTAGATTTATATTCATGCAATGGAAAGTTCAAGCATTTGAGGTATTTTACAGTCATTGAGCATGATAATTGTGTATTGGTTGGCACACAATTTAATTTGATTCAAGCTACTAGGTAGTACAGTTCAGACACATGTTGGATATCCATATACTCTTACATTGGGTACCAGCAGTAGTTTGCAGTTTCATTTCAACATAAATTGAATATACCTGACTGGTGCTCTATGGTTATTGCCAGCTGGTGGCACTTTGTCATCGTTTATTTGCATTTGGAAGAATAAAATGATATTTATCGTTATTTTTTCTTTGTTCTCAACTTTTTCTCACACCAGGTTGAAGAGACTGCAGATGTTTTTACAACTTGGTACCCACCTCTTGAGAAAACTCTATCAATCCTCTCGAAGTTGTACCGTTGTCTAGAATCATCTGTCTTCACTGGTTTAGCACAGGTTGGATCCTTGGACCTCCAGCTCCTTTCTGTGTTCTAAATTTTTAACCAATATAATATTCTTTTCTGCTTGTGTTGTTAACCAATTGTCTTCTTTTTCTTGGGTTGCTATTTCATATCAGGAAGCAGTTGAAGTTTGCTCCTTTTCCATCCAAGTTAGTAGCTAAGATATAATTCAGTATTTTGATAGGTGGTGACCAGAAGTTCTTTGTGTATTAGTAGCCCTTATATCCTTTTCCCCCCCTAAATATTTGCTGTAGAAAGCAAGCAAACTCGTTGCGAAGAAAACAACAGCAATGGATGGGCAGCTTTTCCTTATTAAACATCTTTTAATCTTGAGGGAGCAGGTTATTTCTTTCTTCCTTTTTTGCTTATTGATAGTTATTTACTGAGCAATGGAGCTGGTTATAACTCTCAAGTTTTTGTTTTCTAGATAGCTCCATTTGATATAGAATTTTCAGTCACATACAAAGAACTTGACTTCTCTCATTTGCTGGTTAGTTTCTCCAAGATGAAATTTCTGAACTTTCCAAATTATCCTTTTAATGTATAGTAGAATCACATTTCTTTGATATACAAGTGGAGTCTTATTTGCACTGAATTCCAGGAGCACTTAAGACGGATACTCAGAGGTCAAACTTCTCTTTTCGATTGGTCAAGATCAACTTCATTAGCAAGGAATTTGTCTCCCCGAGTTCTTGAAAGTCAAGTAGATGCCAAAAGGGTATGGTTTTTGATTAATAATTTTAGATTGTTTATTCTGTTATTCAATCAATATGTTATTAAATTATTTAGTTGGGTTGTTAGCGTATGACCTGGTTTTAATTTTGGCTGCCTGCTTCCAGAAATTAACAACACCTGTTCTCATTTTTATCATATGATAGTGGTTGCAGTTTTTTTAGGAGCATATCTGTGAAGATTCTTTTAAGTCATGGAACTGAACTGGTATAGGACATATTTGGAAATTCATTGGTTTTTTATAGTTTGTTCAAATACCACAATTAGGACATGTTTTATTCACTTGGGTTTTACTGTCCATTGTTCTGTAATTTGGATTTGCTTAATCTCTTCTGCATTTTTTCATATGCATCGATTTATCTATTTTAATTCCTTCCGGCACCACACCGTGTCTCTTTTAACCATGACAAACCTTCCAGATAACAGTTCAATTATAGTATGAACTGTTTACCATGGCACGATTTGGAAGAATTGACCAGTTCACTGGAAGGACACTTTTTTTTTTTTTTTTTTTTTTACAAACCTTCCAGATACACAGTTCAATTATAGTAATGAACAGTTTTTTACCATGGCAACGATTTGGAAGAATTGACCAGTGCACTGAAGACATCTTTTTTTTTTTTTTTTTTTTCGTTTTTTTTTTTTTTTTTTTTTTCCCCTTTTCCCCTATTAGGATTGACTATAATTGCTAGAAAGCTTTAGCATCCATTTCTAGACCTATAACATCCATCTTTTTTGGTTTTTTATTCACACCTTATAAGTTTAATCCATGGGTCTTTTTTATTTGAAGGAACTGGAGAAAAGCTTAAAAGCAACTTGTGAGGAGTTCATTATGTCAGTCACTAAACTGATTGTGGATCCAATGCTGTCATTTGCTACCAAGGTTTGCTGTTCTCGTAATTAGTTATCAATAAACTAACTATTTTTGGATCTATATGCATAGAAGTGCATGAGCTGGCAAAATGGGCTTCTGATTTCTTAACTCCCTGAATAATAAGAGACAGGAGCAAAATTTTTTAACCTTCAACTAATTGGTTTTAGATGGACCTATCCTAGAGACATGTAATTATTTAGCCACAAACAAGTTCATGTGACTTTTTCCTTCTATTTTTCTGTCCCTCAAGGAAGAGTTGGTTTTTCTTTTTTCTTTTTTTGGGGTTTTGTGGTGGGGGCTGGTTGGTTAGCATAGAGCATGGATGGTTAAGCATTAAACCTATGTCTTTCTTTGTATGACCATCTGCAAGCATGACTATTTTAATATGTATTTTCAGGTTACGGCTGTAAAAGTTGCACTGTCCTCTGGCAGTCAAAATCAGAAAGTAGAGTCAATTATGGCCAAACCACTGAAGGACCAAGCCTTTGCCAGTCCAGAGAAGGTGGCAGAACTTGTGCAGAAGGTATGTTGTGTAACATGATTCTTCAACATTTTCATGTAATTTTCGAGATCCACTGTCTGGATAGTCGCTAAAAGTATTTTGTTTACTTTTGTTTGCATTTCGCAAGTGAATGAATCAAGTCTCTTCTTACTGTTGCAACAAAGATAACTATAGCATGCAAGATAAGGGGGGGAAGAAAAGAACAAATATAAATCTCAGAAACATTAACTTGTCCTAAGGCAATCTTTATTGTCAAGGACTATCCTTGGAGCAGCATGTGGAGGAAGCAATTGGTCCACCAAGTAGAAGTGTAGATGGCATGCCTATAGCTATAAGCCCAACTATGTAATGGTCATTCAGCAATTTGTTTAGTATTGTCTTGACGAACCGGATAGACATCACTACAGTTCTATTTATGGACCTTAAGAGTGGATATTACTTTCCTAAGTAGTACACCAATTAGCAGTAACCTGTATTCCTCAAGTAACTGTGCTGCTCAGAGTGCTATTGCAGTTGCAAGCATGAGTTGAAAAGCATTTAAAACTAAATATGCACTGGCTTCACATTAACTTGATGATTCACCTGATTTTTTATATGACGATTTTGAAACAGGTTAATACTGCTATTCAGCAAGAATTGCCCTTGGTGATGGCAAAAATGAAGCTTTATCTGCAGAACCCATCAACAAGAACAATACTTTTTAAACCAATAAAGTAAGTTATATTCACTTAGCTTGCATACTGGATTCTAGAATACTTTATGTTTGCCTCAACAGTCAGATGCATTTTTTTTTTTTTTTTGGGAGTTCAAGATGCAATTTTTTTTTTTTTTGGGGTACATAAATCTTGTATTTTTTTTTTTTTTTTTGGGTACATAAATCTTGTATTATCGCTGTATTGCATTTGTACAGGACAAATATTGTGGAAGCACATAGTCAAGTACAATCCCTTGTAAGATCTGAATATACCCCTGAAGAACAAACCATCATCAATATGTTGCCCATGCAGGAGCTGCAAGAACAACTTGATAACCTCCTTTAGGTTGCGTGTATAGCCTAATCAATTTTTCTTTTCAATGATCTTATCCACATGAGGAGCAATTTTGGTTTGTCAAGTAGGGTTTGAAATCACTTAGGTCACTGGTGCCTAAGAAGTGCAGGGTGGAAATTTAAAGACGATGTGGGAAGTATATTACAGTGCCATTTACATATTAAGAGTATAATGAACTGAACTATAAAGACCAGATTGTATTCATTATTTGTAAGTCCCTTATTGTAACTCAGTCAATTATGAATTTAAATATTTTCCGGCTATATTCTTAATAATATAGCATACGAGACTCCAATGAGAAACGCTTGTAAGTTTTTGTTTTTTCCTTTTTTTAAGCAATGCTGGCATGAGGAGTTGTACACCTCAATGCAAAAGAATAAAATTGTTTATTTCCTTGCAGGGAACATAATTTAAAGAAATTAATTGGATAGAAAATACCTCTTTAATTAACATTTGTTTAAATTTAAAAATTATATTTCATTCATAATTTCAGAAATTAATAATCCAAATATTGAAGCACTCGCTTGGCTCTCTGTTGATTTCGTTTCTCAGCAGAATTACATAAAATGAAGCCTACAATTGTTTTTAAAGCATAAAAGCCATACATAGAGAAGTTACATAAAAGCTCATTTTCATGTTTCTATCGAATCATTACTCTATCAATATCGCAATTAACACATGTTGGGGAATCCTCAACCACAGTGAGTTTCAGTAGTAGAACCACATATCCCTGTCTCTAAATCAAACTAAAATGCAAGCAAAGCAAGTTTGCCAAATCTCCACAAATCGGTGGCCATTTCCAAAGGATATGACTACGCTTCTACTTGGGAACAAATTTTTTTCCCTTTTTTAATTTACTCCGCTATGCTCGAGCTCCTTAGCTTTTATCATTTGGATCCCTTTATAATCACGAAATCCATAATTAAATGCCAATGAAGATCAAACCGCTGGATCTGGTTTAGCAATTTCAAACACTGATAGTTGCACATTTGTTGTTATTGAATTCGATCCCATTCGAGTATAAATTCACATTGTGAGTTGACGAGTGTGATCTATGCACTTTCACTTAATTTCTCTTTGTTTGAACAAATTTCTATTTTGCAATGCAGAATGCTCCTCTTATGGAGCAACAACAAGCAACAATTGTGGCATTGTCTCATGCCGTGGCCGAGCGACCATGTCCAACCACTCTGGTTAGACTTTCAAGTGCCTTGTTTTACTCTTAAATGTTAGGCTAATTGCAGATTTTATTTTGAAAGCTACTAGCTTCTGTTATTTTTAGGCCCAAAACCACATCTTTAGGCAGGAAAACGGTGGCTTGACTGTTACCAATAAGGACAGTGCTTTTGGAGATTCTCAAGTCATAGAAGCAGTTTTAGTTAATACAAATCAAGTGAGCAGTCTTTCTTCATGTCCATAGTCCAATTGCATTTTGTTGCAATGTTACTAATTTAGACATTTAACCATTTTGCGTGAATCAATTTTAAAAACCTGTCTGTGAAATTGGATGCTTGATTTATCTAACTGTGCTACTTGGGTGGATAAGACTGACTTTGTGGGGCAGTTTCCTCAATTCAGCCTCAAGGACAAGGCTATTTTTCCAGCAAATAGCAATGATAAAGCAGCAAATCAGAAACCATATTTGATATATTCTAGGAGAAGGAAAGTAAAAGGGAACCAGAATTGATATATTGACACATCACCAACAATTATAACAATAACAGAATGAGATATGTAATGATGAGTTTGTTATAGATTTGATACGTTTGTTATAAATATGATATGTTTTTGCCTATAAAAAAAGGAAGGGGTGTTCGAGGGAGGTATCTTAGAATATTTTGAAAGTCATTATAGCAGATTGTGTTCTGCTCTAGCCTAGCCTGGGGATTGGGTTTCCCAGTATGTTCTTTCCTAGTTCTTTTGGGTTTTTATGTATTTTCATTCCTCTGTTAGTTTTCTGAAACCATATAATCAAACATTCTCCTTGATAGGTGTTATTTTTATAGTATTTTTAATATAGTTTTTATTAGAATTTTTAGTATTTTTAATTACTTTAATTAGCTTTTATTTAGTTTTATTTATTAATATAGTTTTTATTAAGAATTTTTAGTATTTTTAATTAACTTTAATTAGCTTTTTTTATTTAGTTTTATTTATGTTTTTGTTTAAAGCTTCCTTGAGTCACATTTCACTTGATCTTGGGGAATTTTATTGCATTTTTATAGAAAATCAGACAAAATATAGAAAAGATTGTTCCTAAGCAAAGACTAGCACGCCCAAGCCGTGCCAGATAGCACGCCTGTGCTGAATTCCTAACTTCATATTGGGCCGAAAACGACAACTCTAGCCCATACTACTTGCATGGACCCGCATAAGATGCTTTTCTGACGTGCCAATCAAGTTTAAATCCTATTTAAATGTTGGAATAGTCCTAATTGGGAAGAAATACAAAGCCTAAACAATTTCCTATCTCCAAAAGATTATTTACTCAATAAATATTCACTTTTCTAAATGAACGCGAAGATATTCCAAAAAGTCTATATAAATAGAATATTCCAAAAAGTCTATATAAATAGAGAGACTAGCCATAGACAAGGAAGCCATTCATTGTATATTACATCTCTTATTCTATTATTTTCTACATAGTTTTCTTTCTCTTCAAGACTTTAGGTACTCAAGATTGGTGTCAAGATTCAAGGAAGCCGTTCAAGCCTATTGTTGACTAGTTTTTATTTCTAAACTCTCTTTTTGTTTATTATTCTTTATGAGATTTTTCACAAGTTTAATTGAGTTTTATTTAATTACTATGTCGAACTAAACTTTCGTACTAGGGATTTGATGAAGCTTAATTTCGATTTCAATTTATAATATTAGATTTGCTTTTCTTTGTTTAAAGTATAATTTATTATTGAACTTAATGCCAACTTAATGCTTTCAGGCAGAGTTTCTCCCCTGGATTGAATTTATTTCCATTAATCCACTATCGGGAGAATGGTTTATTTGGCTCAAAGGTCAATTGTATCTTGAGATTTGGATGATCATGCAAACAAATAACATTTAATATTTTTGCATGTGCTAATATTAATTTATGCAGATATTTTTTAAATATGAAAAGATTACTAAGGAGAAGGGCAAAGTCCCTCAAATTCAAGGATTTTGAGACCATGAAGGTTTTTGAAATTTCTTTTTTAATGGTTAGTATCTTAAGATTTTTTTGTAGGATAGAGAGAATATTTTTTATAAGAACAAAAATATTTTTTTTGTTTCTCTTCTCAAAGGCATTTCGGAAATTACTTTAATAATAAAAGTCACAACTTAATCTTTCTTTAAAAGTTTATTTAGCCTATTTGAAAAAGATTCTTGGTCTTCATTATTTTTGGTAAAATATTTGAAAGAGATTTGCATATCTTTTATTATTTTCGAAAATTACCTTAATAATAAAAGTCAAATCTTGATCTTTTTAAATTTACTTACCTATTCGAAAAAGATTTTGGCTTAATTATATTTGGTAACAAAATATTAGAAAGAGATTTGCATAATTTTGCATTTTTGAAAATTATGTTATAAAAAGGAAAGTCAAATCTTTTATTTACTCTACTTTCCTAAATGAAAAGATTTTTGACTTAAATATTTTTGGCAACAAATATTTAAAGATCTTTTCGTATCTCTTTTTTTGAATGTCAAAAATATTCGTTAAACTTAAACTAAACGATTTTATGTTTTTCTCCCAATGAGATTTCCATCCCCTAATAATAAAACGTTTTCCTCTTATGAAACGTGGGTATTTATTTTTAAGAGTAAGAGTCCATGTCATTATGTTTTAAATCTCTTAAAGTCTCTCTTTTAAAAACCCTTATTTCTTTTCGTTTCTTCTTGGTAAGAAATATTTTGAAAGAGAAAAGAAAATTTTTAATAAAACATCTGTCGGAAAAACACAGGTTCTGAATCTTTAAATGCCGTTTCTAATCTTGAATTTCTAATTCTTCATAGTGCTTATATTTGCATTTCTCTATGTCTATATAAGGATTCTGTAATCTGTTTGTAGACAGGCTTCTTTAATTTGAAACAATTTTTTGTGTAATAGCTTGGTGAAAAGTATGGTGGTATAGTTATCAAGCAACCTTCTCCTTGTATGAGATTCTAATGTCTTGATGTGAGTTTTGCCTCTCTTTGTAAAAACAGAAAGGAAGGGTTGAGGTTGACTAGAACCTTTGGAAAATCTAGTGGGACAAAGGTTAGATCTAGGTGTTGATCTATTTCCTTGTATTGTTGGTTTGTCTCGTACCCTTGAAAAAAGAGATAATATAGTGGAAGATCTCAAGATGAGTCTTGATGAGTGGATGTAGGCGAGTTAGTGCCGAACCACTATAAATCTCTGTGTTTATCTTCTTTTTATTTTCTGAAGTTCTGCTTGGTTTTATTTTATTTACACATCTGTTAACTTTTTAGAAATGCAAAGTTGTTAATGGCTTTATTGTTGTAAACTCGAATAAGCTTTATCTTTATTGAACATATTCAGAATCTGACTTTCTGCATTGCTGATACCAAGTTCTAATCTGTTTTTTCTATAATTCAATATATGATCATATTTGGATTTTAATCAATTTTCTAAGTTTACTTCAAGCTTTGTGAACAGTTTAGATAATTTCATACTGTCTTTCACAGAATCTTAATATTTTGTCTAAGCTTTATGAAGTAGTTCTAAACGTAATAACTTTCCTTCATAAAGTGTTTTTGAAATTGATTAAGATTTGTGAATCAGTTCTAATCTATATTTGCTCTTTACAAAGTCTTTCTAGTTTTTGTATTAAACTTTGTGAGGAAGTTCTAATCTTGATAACTTACTCTGACAAACGCATTCTATTTCTGCTGCAACAGAATTCTGATTTTGTTTTTGAAAGTTAAATTTTTAATTTTTAGAAAATCCAATTCACCCTTGCCCCTCTTGGGTTGTGCCATATGTATACGAGACCCACAGGATTTTTGATATGAAAAAAGGAATAAATTACATGAGAATAATAACTTGATGCAGAAGCTATATGGTTGGACTCATGGAGGGTTTTCATAAGTTAACGACCTTAGGTTATGAATTCATAAAAAAACTATAAAACTTAATGATTTAATTCATGTTTGATTGCACTATTGAAAGATAGGTAATTGGACCGGTTTAAAATAGCTAACAATACATCGGGAGGCACTATTGAAAGATAGGTAATTGGACCGGTTTAAAATAGCTAACAATACATCGGGAGAGCTTGTTAGTGATTTTAGGGTTGTTTCCCCTTCTTGAACAATTAAAATTGATTATCAAGCTAATAGAAT